CTGCGCTGCCCCTCCCGCTCGCCCTCCTCCCTCGGAAGAGCCCAGTGCCCATCGCTCAGCCGGGCGGGGCGGGGGGCGCCTTTGGATCTGCGTTCTGCCGCTACGTGCCCCATGCTGCACTCTTCTCTTTCCCTCCTGGAGGGGATTTGCTCCCAGGTAGCCTGGGGAAACTTCACCGCTTCCCTCAAGATTTCCCCTGTTCTCTCCAGCCCTGTTTACCTCAGACTTATCCATGACCGCCATGCTAGTCTTTGGACATCGTGCCATTTCTCTGCTGCCAGTTCCTATCCAGATGCACCTGCACAGGAACACGTGTGTGTGGGAGTAGGAGGGTATTTGGATGCCATCCAAAAGCAAGCAGGTGCGGCCATCTCCCCTGCAGATCCACTCCCCCACCTGCTCATGAGTACCTGCCACTCATTGACGAAAACCTGACTTCAGAGAAGATTTGCAGTCCAGGAGGACAAAGGAGGCTATCAGGAAGCCTTGAAAAGCCACCACAGACTTTTTTCACAAGAGGGGGCACTTGCAAATCAGGGAGACAGAAAGAAAGAAGGGAAGAGAGAGCCTGTTGGGGGAAAGGACCGGAGCACCTCCAGGTTGCAGGAGCCCTGAATGGCCTTGCATCTCCCCCCACTCCCCGCCATCTCCTTCCCTGCTCCTTTTACCCCAAATGTCCAGCAGATCGAGGAATTCCTGCTGACACCAAGAACGCCCCTCATTTTCGCCCTGGCATCAGCTCTGCAGCAAAAGTCAGGCAGGGAGGGAAGATCCCGACGCTGTCCCAGCCCGCTGCAAGCCTCGCAACAGCAGCGGCAGAAAGAGCAGGGCAGGACGGGCGGGGGAGGCAGCCTTTGTACGTCACAATCACGTCACAATCACGCCCCGCCCCCGCCCCAAGGGACACAGAGCACACGACTGGGGCGAAGTCCGCGGAGCCCACCACGCTCACTGCCTCAGCCCTGCCCACGTCACAGTCACACCCCCAACAGCCCCTCACCGCTTTTCCTTTAGCGTGACATCACAAAGAGTGCAACTGCATTTTGAAAGGCTGCAGAGGCTGAAATGTGTTTGTGCTATTTCAGGCTCAAAGGCTACTGCTGCAGAAACAAGCAAGGCCAATCTTGTTGATGCATTTTTTCTGGGTGCTCAGAGTTTCTCATGCCCTGGTCCACAAAATTGTACTCTCCATTGATGGACTCCCGGTGAAGCAAACCCCATGATGACCTCATTTTCCCTTTGCTGACAGGCTGAGGATGCAACTGCAACATGCTCTCACTTCTGATTGTCTCTGTGTGTGTCTCCGCAGCAACACGTATGCTTTCATGCATTAAAATTAGAGTCATTATGTTTGTTGCATATACCAATACCATCCTCCCTTATACAAATCTATGGAGTACCCACACTTGGAATTCTGTGTTCAGTTTTGGTCACCATTTCTCTAAAAAAAGATATTATACAGCTGGGAAAAGTACAGGAAAGGATAACTAAAATAATCAAGGGGCTGGAAAAGCTCCCTATGAGGAAAGCGTATAACATCTGCAGTAGTTTAACTCAGAAGAAAGTGTGTAAGGGGAACTGCACAAATGATGGAAGTGCACAAAATTAGGTACAGTGTGGAGAAAAGCAAGAAGGAGACATTTTTCAGTCTCTTTCACAATACTAGAGCCAAATGGGGTCATCCCATAACCCTGAAAGGTAGGAAATTCAGGGGGATAAAAGAAGGAACTCTTCACACAGTGCATGTTTCAGTTGTGGAATTCACTTCCACAGGTTGTGGTGATGGCCACCAGTTGGGTTGGCACTAAAAGGAGATGGGCAAATAAGGCTATAAATGGCAAGCAGTTTGATGGCCTCCAATATCTCAGCCAGTATACCTATGTACACCAGTTGCTGGGGAGCATGGGTGGGTGAGTGCTGTGGCATTCACACCCTGTTTGTAGGCTCCCACAGATAGCTGGGCGGCCTCTGTGGAAACAGCATGCTGGACTAGATGGACTCTGGTCTGACCCATCAGGGTCTTTGATGCGCTTGCATCATGGTCCCTTCCTTTTTCCAAACCAGACTAGAAATGCTATGCCAGCATACGTAAGGAAGTAAACCCCATTGAAGTCAGACATTTGAATACCCATATATATTGGACTATTGGAGGAAGGCACCTAGGTAGGGATCACATCCTGAACGGAAGGCTATCACCATAGTACATTTCACAAGATGCCATCATCACATGCGCATAAAGGGCTTCTCTGAGCAAGACATTGATTGTGCATCTGTGATTCCCCAATTCTGGTAGGTTGCGAGTGCTTAACCTGACACACCCATCTCCCAGGAGCTCTCCAAGCTTTCCTCCCACTCTTTCTGCTTTGTTTTTAGATCAAGGAAAGTATTGTCTTATTTGAAAATATGACGAGCCTGTGTATTGTCACAATTCTCCTCTACTTCAGTGCCACCTAGTGGCTGTGTAATGTGTCATGTAGAAGACAGAGAAAGGGAGGAAACGGTAAAGGCACTCGAAAAGAAGCTGATCTTAACCCCAGAAGGAATCCAGCAGCCTGTAAAGTGCAGAGTTAAGAGCCTCATACAGCTGAGCCCAAGGTCATAAGTAATCAGATCTGGCTATGTGATGATGTTCAAGCAGAAACTGAGAGTGAAGTTTCAAGGCAAGTTGGCTCCTATGTTCAAGGAGTGCCAAAAGCCACCAAAGAAAAAGCATCCTTGATCCTGTCAAAAACAAGCTGTTTGCAAGAATCAACACATTATCTTTGCCCTGTAGGCAGTATACAAAAGTTCACCAATGGCATGTTCCATCTCTTGCAAAAAGTACACACTTGGGCAGACACCCACTGGTTGACCTTCTGTGCCAGCGTGGCCAACACATGGCCCTCTTGATACCGGCCAACTGCAGCTCCCATCATCTCTAGCCAGCTTAACCAGTGGTGATAGCTAATGGGAATTGCAGTCCAACAAACTCCAGGAGGTCACACACTCCCCACCCCTTTTTAACAAAAAGAGTTTTCTCCTAATGCTTATGATGTGCACATGTGTGTCTCTCCTGCGACCCATCCCACCAAGATTTGAGTGCCAGGAACTTTATCTTCTGCTCAATGTCCAGATGAGCCAGAAAAGCTGCCTGAGTCAAAAGCTGTCCCCCTCTGCCTTTGGGATTGCGATCTTGCTGTGATGCTGATCGGATCCTAGCACACAGTCTGTGGCTTGCCTACAGAAAGTCTAGGGCCTGATCCCTAGCATCTCTGAGTGTGTTCAAAGGCTCTCAGAAGGCAGGGCTTGGGAAAGTGCTTCTTGCCTGAGATCTGGACAGCCACTGCAAGTCAGACTGGGTAGAACTGAGCTAGCTGGACCCAGGGCAGCAGTTCATCTTCCCATGAAGGGAGGCATCAAACCTCTCATCACCCAAAACTAGGATGGTGTCTGTGGCCAATTGTGCCAACAACAATTTCACTCAGTATTTAAATACCCTCTTCAAGCAATCAAACAGCTTCACCCACGTTATCTCAGTAATGGTTCCAGCTCCCCTGTAAGGTAGGCCACGGAAATTTATTCTCATAGCCCAGATCCAGGTCTAAGAGATGGCACAGTGTCTTGCTGCAGAGTTCATCATCAAGAAGTGGCTTGGATCTGCTCATTGCTCACTCTTCACTATTTTCTCTCCACCAAAGCTGCCTAAGTGTCTCCTTTCAGCCAGTCACCACACAACTCTTCTTCACTGCTATCATCAAGAGATGAGGCCACTGGTGGGGAACACTGTCCATAATGGTCTGGACCCTCCAGGCTTGCCTCACCTGAGCAGGGTGGAAGCCAGGGTAAGATGGGGCTAGTGTTTCCCCTGGAATGAGATGCAGCATCCCAGCAGAAACAAGAAGCCAGAGGGGTGACCTCCACTGCGGTGGACTTTGAGAAGACACTTCCTATTCTGCTTTGGCAGAAGGGGTCCCCAGTTGGCCCTGTGGGAGCTGCCCCCTCATCTTTCTCCTCCTCCTCCTCCTCCTCCTCCTCCATGTCAAAGCAAAGTCTATCTTTGCGAGCCTTATTCATCACTTCTGAGACAATCTGTTCCAGGCGACTCCTGGGAGCTTGCACATTAGACGTCAGAGGGCTCTCTCCTTCTCGGGGTGAGGTGTACAAGCACATCCTAGAAACAGCTCTTCGCAGGCGCTGGAAAGGAGATGAAGCTTGGGGTTCACAGGGAATGTTCCAGGAATCAGGAATTTCTGACAAGGCCCAGAAGAAGTGGACAGGTGAAATCTTCTGCACGGGTGTCTTAGACACATACGAATAGAGGCAGAAGAAAGCATCAGCCATTGCAGCCAGAGTCTGCACTTGCCTGAACCGGGCTGTGAAAGGAAGGGTGAGAAGGATCAGAGGAAGCAATAATCAGGCAGTTAAGAAGCATCCAGAACATCCAGTTCTCATATCCTTGTGAGACCACATAACCAAGCACAGGATGCATTTTCCACACCAGTAGGCAATGGCATCATCTCACCACCAGGGGGCAGCAGAGCAAGGGAATAGCAACAAGGTCAGATGGGATAGAAAGCCAATCCCCAACTTAATATGGTCAAGAGGACTATCTAGACTTGCAGGTGTTGAACATCAGGCTCATGGGCCTGATCCAGACAACCTGGGATCGCAAACAGTTCAGCAGATGGCCCCACTCCCTTTCCCCTGACCACCAACTGTTTGGTGGTTTCCTGACTTGTCTCCATGTGTGCAAATGTGTATTCCCATTCTCCAGAAACTGACATTCTTTCTCAGGGTGTTGTGACTAGCAGCAGAAATATGGCCCTCAAGATATGGTTCCGGAGAGCTGAGAATACAACTCTCATCCCGAAAAGTTTTGACACTTCTGACCCAGCAGTGGCCCATTGTCAGTCCTTAGAATGTCAAACTGAATCCCAGAGTGTCTGTGCCACCTCACCCACATTGGAGCCACCTGCTTCGACTACCCTTATCTGAAGGTAGAAAACTCTCAGGTGTCTCAATATGAGGGAAGAGAACCAAGATGTTTTACTCTAAATGAAAGCAGACTTTTTGGTTTCATCCTCATTTCTCCCTTCCAGAAAGAAGGTAGAATTCTATCAAGAGGCCAGCCTTTTTCCCAGCCTTTGCTCTCTCCATGGGCTGGAAGCCAAGTCTCTCCTTCCTAGGTTTTGCATAGCAGACATAAACAATCACCTTTCCTAACATTCTTCCTATCTTTGCTGCTGCTGCCCACTTTGGCTTCCAGGTTTTTTCTACCTCCCTCTTGTCTGAGCAAAGGTGTCAGTTCAGCCCTAGTTGGGCTGCAGGCTGGAAGATCTATACTCTGACTGGTGGAGGCTCCTCAAGATCTCCGAGGACTGAGGCCTTTTCTATCACCTACTACCTGAGGTCCTTTCAGACCAAAGAAGTTTGTCGTTAAACCCAAGACTTCTGCATGGAAAGTCTGTGCTCAAGTCTCTTCACTAAAGCTTCCCCCTAAGTCAGAGGCATGCCTTGCCCTCTTGGATCACCACTCTAGAACCATAAATGATAGAAGTGTATGGCACCTACAGGCCAACATCAGGCAAGGGTCCTCCATCTCAATCCGTTGCACCTGGGATCTCAGGAGAAGCTGGAAATCAATGCCCTGAGCCTGGGATGGGACAGCGAAGAACCGAGCTGGGATCCAAGATGCAGCCTCCATCTCCTCCTGCATGAAGCCCAGGTTGCAGAGGATGGTCTCAGCATCAACCTCACAGAGGTCCAGCACCTCTGAGATACTGCAGAGAAGAGCAAGAGATGAGGTGGAAAGTCAGTGGAGTGATTTCCCAACCAATCATTAAATGTTAATTTCAATCATTTGCTGCTGTGGTTGTTTCAGATAATAGCCATGCAGGGACAGACAGGGATGCCCATGAAAAGAAGCCATGGTTTACTGCTGGGTTGTGAGCTGTGGATTGCCCATGGTTAACAACCCATACTTTGTTAGCACAGCTGGGTTCAGACAACTTGCTAACTCAGGTTTCAACAACAGCCCATGATTCAATTATAACCCGCACTGAATCCATACCCAGTCCAACCATGGAGACACACGGAGGCACATAAGTTCCAAAGGTTCTTTCCCAAATCAATTCTGACATGCCAATATAACCTAATGGTCAATGGCACTGCCAGCCACTACATGTCTGATCAGAAGTAAGGCACAGTGGATTCAATGTGACTTACTCTAAGGCAAGTGGATGTTAGCCTTATGTCCATTGTAGGAAAAACAATGGAAAGGCTCATAATAGAGAGAGATCTAGTGATGCTAGATAGGGAAGGGAGGCTGCCAGCCACACAACACGACTTCCGCAAAAACAGGTCCTGCCAGACAAACCTTGTGGAATTCTATGACAAGGTTTCAAGATGGCTGGATGGAGGGGATGCAGTGGATGTGGTATACCTGGATTTCAGCAAGGCCTTTGACAAAGTGCCCCGTGATATCCTGGCGGAGAAACTGAGTTTTGGGATACACCAAAGCACTGTCCGGTGGATTAGGGCATGGTTGACTGACCAAAAGCAGAGGGTAACCATTAGTGGGGAATCATTGGGATGGCAGCCAGTGACAAGCGGGGTCTGTTTAATCTTTTCATTAACAATATGGAAGAAGGGGTGAACAGTCTGCTGATCAAATTTGCAGACGACACTAAAACTGGATCAGTGGCCACAACTGAGGAGTCGATACTCCACATCCAAAAGGATCTGGACAGACTATGGAAGTGGGCAGGAGACAACAGGATGGCATTCAATGTGGATAAGTGCAAGGTCTTGCACTTGGGCCATAGGAATAGCTGTCATAAGTACAGGTTAGGTGACAAGTGGCTGGAGAGCAGCACTTGTGAAAAGGACCTCAGGGTGCTGGTTGACTGCAGGCTAAACATGAGTCAGCAGTGTGATGAGGTGGTCAAGAGGGCAAATGCCACCCTTGGTTGCATAGCCAGAAGTGTGGCTTCTAGATCAAGAGAAGTATTACTACCACTCTACACGACTCTAGGGTGCCCGCAACTGGAGTATTGTGCTCAGTTTTGGGCCCCTCATTACAGAAAGGATATAGCCAGGTTGGAGTCAGTGCAGCGTAGGGCCACAAGGTTGGTGGCCGGTTTGCAGGGGATGGGGGGTGAGGCGAGACTGAGGGAACTGGGTCTCTTCAGCCTGGAGAAGAGGAGACTCAGAGGGAATATATTGGCGACATACAGGTACGTGAGGGGATGTCACACGGAGATGGGTAGAGACCTGTTCTCCCCTGCAGAGGAAGGCAGGACATGCTTCAACGGAGCAAAGCTCAGGGAGCCAAGGTTCTATTTGGATGCCTGGAAGCACTTCCTGACAGTCAGGACCCTGAGGGTGTGGAATGGGCTTCCACAAGAGGTCGTTGAGGCCCCATCTGTGAGGGTGTTCAAAGATAGGCTGGACATGCACATGGTTGGCATGTCGTGAGCGGAGCCGGCTGTCAGACTAGATGGCCCAGGAGGTCCCTTCTGACTTGCTCTGTTTCTAGGTTTCTATGTTATGTTTCTAAGTGGAGGTACAGGATTGCAGCCACAGACTTTATTTCTGCTTAACTCTGTCCCTGTTTTTCCTGCTCCCGCCACCACCCCCTGGTCAGATTCCTGGCCCCTCCTGTGCTTACCCCATTGAGTTGTACTTAAAGTCAAAGGGCATATAAGAGCATCTTGATTAACTATTTCCTGCTTACCCCACCCTTCCTTCAGACAGTTACAGGCAGCCTGCATGGGCTTTTCCCTCTTCCAATGTTATCCTCCCAATCAGAGCCAGAGTCAAAGGTGGGCATGGCTGAGGATCTGTTGTGGCCCACCAGGGGGACATTGGCAACTGCCCCGAAGCTGCCCCCTTCCTCACTCCTGCAAGTTGCTCATTCATCCCCCAGACAAGGGTGATGGTGGGAAGGCAAATAGCAGATAAACATAGAAACATAGAA